CATACAAAATTAGTATACTTTAATGTAATTATGAATTAAAAAGTCATTCTACAAAGGAATTCAGAGCCAGAAAGAGACCATATGAACATAACCGAAGGCAAAATCACTACATGAGTTTTCTACTCAGTTTCTTAGCTACCTCTTATCCAAATACTTGGGTAAATTAAAGATACAAAAATAGGCAAAATAATTCTACAATCTATAAAGTGCACTTAGAAGAATAAGCTTATCTGGTTGCCTCAAAAGTAAAGATCAGTTAAGAAATAGTGAACACACCTTACCGGTGTTCTAATAAAATGTCTAAACTGCTATTGATGGCCAGATGTTAGAGAAAAAAAAGGAGGCTGAAAATAAAACAACAGGGAAAAACTATTTTTCATCCAGCCCTGCCTCTATCCTTGTTTCTGACTTACTATTGGCCATCAGCTCTTTATTCAACCATCAGATGTTTTAGACAGGAATGGCAATACAGCTTCACAGAGTTAAACAAATGCAGTGCAAATAAAAGTCACACACCTGAAAATAATATCACAGGTTAATTCAGACACCATTCCTGTGTTGTGTGACTTTAAGAAAACTCAACTCATTTCTTAGCTTTGGACATGCAGCTTAACAAAATGATTAATAGTACTTTCAACCATAATGTCCATAAGTGATTATCAAATTAAACCTCTTTCAATATTTGGCTTATTTTTATCCTCACCCAATTCTCTTCTTAAAGAACCATTTAGGCAAATGCAACATGAAGCAAGAGAGGAGAGATAAAAAGCTGCCTATGACTGTATGCATGACTACATTCATCCTGTCTGATATTTATTTGTTTTTTTTAAATGAAATTATACTGTGCATTGTTGAAAGAACTCCCCTGTATATAAATGGCCTCATGGGGTGCTTTGGCAACAATTAGATATGAAAAGCAGGAGGGACACTTTCATATGTGGTTCCTCTTGAACATAAAAGGAACATAGTATACATCAAATCAAAATAAGAAGAGCACATCAAAGCAGCTAAAAAAAGCTGCTGCTGAGCTGCAAATGTCCTCACACATCAAAGGAAACCCAAGTCAGTAGGATACAGCTCCAGCTTGGGCAGGCAGACCTGAGCCCCTCCTCTGAGCACAAGAGTGGAGTAGTACTCGAAAGGAAATGACAAGATATGTGCAACACATTACAGATAAGTGGATGTCAATGACACTCAGAGAACCAGTGCTGATGAGGGGATGGCAAAAGGAAGCAGCAATTCTTCAGTTGCTGGGACAGGACCCATAACAAAAAGAAATGTCAGGGAGAAAGGATAAAAGTGGTAAGCAGTGCAGTGAAGAGGATGCTAGAGATAAAATATGAGGGAGGAGAATCAGCAGAGACAGTTCTGTTGCTCTACTGAGATGCACTTTGGTTTCAGTGATGTCAGACTCTGAGGGATGATTGCTCTAGATGAGTTCCAAGGGACCATCAATGTGAAAAGGATGAAAGGGCCAACAGCCATCTCTCTTTCATTGAAAATGGTCAAAGCAAGAAAATCAAATGGAGCTTAATGATTCTGTTACATGAGACTTCTTTGTGAGAGACTTGATGGCTGGTAATTCTGTGTAGTGAAAAGGACTGGGGAGTGGGGCGGAGTCAAAATGACTGAGGAGCTTAGGATGGAAACTTGGGTTCCTGAATCATAAAAACCCAGAACCTACAAAAGCTTCAGAGTTTCCTATTGTGAAGAAACAGAACTGGCTGATGCAGCTCCACTATATCCAGAAGGATTATGAAGCATGCAAGCTTCAGGAGACCCGGGGGTTATGTGAATATGCTATCTATGTCCAAGCACAGATTTTTGTGCCTGGAAGGCTCCAGCAGAAGACTGGCAATGGGGTTCAAAGATCCTGAAGCCTGGACTCAGGATGTTCCACATGCTGATAGGCAGATCTAGCCTGGGCCTGGTACTCTCTAGCTCAGGCCTTTTCAGCAGAGGCCTGGTGATGGGGGTCAAGGATCCAGCCCACAGGAACTCAGAGTGGCCCTGCAGGGATAGGCAGATCTCTGGGAGGGGCCCAGAACTCCAGTAGAGGACCTGCAGTAGGGGTCAGAGACCAGTCAGGTGGAAATTAGGGGTGGTCCCACATGGATAGGCAGGTTTAGTGTGCTCAGAGCAACTCCAGGAAGTTCCCCAAAGGTGGTAAGATTGTTGGTTCCACCCTCTGTCCCAATGCTCAATCAGAGCAGTGGGACAGTGGGCAGGGTAGGGTACAGGGTAGGGGGAAGGCAGGCTCTTGGTGGGTGTGGGTGGGTGTGCATCTGAGCTCCAACAGTGCTCTCAATGGGGATAGGACACTAGGGCAGCTAGATCTCAGGGCAACCCAGGGAGTTCCCAGGGAAGGGTGTGGGGGGATTCTGCTTGGATTGGTCCCAGACTCACCTCTAGCCAAGGCCTGGCAATGAGGGTCAAAGCCGATGGGGGTCAAAGACTGGGCTGATACTCAGGAAGTTTCTGCACCAATAGGTGTATCTAGCTGGGACCTGTCACTCTCTAGCTGAGGCCTCTTTAGCAGAGGCCTGGCGATGGGGGTCAAGGATCTAGCCCACAGGAACTTAGAGTGGCACCCATCTCAGGGAGGGGCCCGGAACTTCAGTAGAGGACCGGTGGTGGGGGTCAGAGACCAGGAAGGTGGAAATTATGGGGGTCCTTCATGGCTAGGCAGGCCTAGTGTGTCAAGTATCTATTTCTTAATTTGAGAACCAAGGTAAAATTAACATTCTTTGTCTTATATCAAAGTCTTAGAGCACAGAATTTATCAGAATAAAATATAAATTTACATCAGAAAAAGTTCTTATCATGAAACAAAATTCAACCCACTTAAATTCCTTTTCCAGCCACAAGAAGAGATCCCCATCTCCAGGCCCCTGCCTGAGGAGAGACCTCCTAGAGAGCTTGGACCACCCAGAGCTACAGACATTGAACCTCTGACACACCTAAGACCACCTGCAGAGTACCATAGAGAGGGAGAGACCCCCCACCTCCACCTACTGGAAGAAGCAATGGGAACATGGCAATACAAGAAAACACCTAATAATAGAAAGACAAGCATAACACCACCAGAATCTAGGGAATCTACACCAACTAGAACTGAACACCCCAAAGCAGATGAAGCAGAATAGAATGACTTAAAAACTACCTTCATAAAAATGATAGAGGCCCTCAAAGACAATGTGAGAAAATCCCTTAAAGAAATAGAAGAAAAAACAAACAAAAACTGGAAGAAATGAACAAATTTCTTAAAGAAAGTATAGAAAGCCAAGAAAAACAATTAAACGGGAAGGAAACAGTTCAAGACTGGAAAACTGAAATAGAGACAATAAAGAACACAAATTGAAGGAATGCTAGAAATAGAAAAACTGGGCAAAAAACCAAGAACTACAGACGCAAGCATAACCAACAGAACAGATGGAAGAGAGAATCTCAGGCACTGAAGATAAACTAGAGGAAATAGATTCATCGACCAAAGAAAATCATAAATCCAACAAATCCTTAACACAAAACATCCAGGAAATGTGGGACACCATGAAAAGGTAAAACCTAAGAATAATAAGAATAATAGGCATAGAGGAAGGTGAGGAAGACCAACTCAAAGGTGTTGAAGACATATTCAACAAAATTTTTGAGGAAAACTTTCCCAATCTGAAGAAGGACATACCCATGAAATATAAGAAGCAAACCAAACACCAAATAGACTGGACCAAAGAAAAAAGACCCCTCAGCATATAATAATAAAAACACCTAACATACAGAATAAAGAATATTAAGAGCAGCAAAAGAAAAAGGACAGGTAACATATAAAGGCAGACCTATCAAAATTACACCTGACTTCTCCATGGAAACTCTCAAGGCCAGAAGGTCCTGGATAGATATTCTACAAGTACTAAGAGTCCACGGATGCCAGCCCAGGTTACTATATCCAGCAAAACTCTCAATCACTATAGATGGAGAAAACAAGATATTTAATGACAAAGTCAGGTTTTCACAATATGTATCTACAAATCCATCCCTACAGAAAGTTCTGGAGGGAAAACTCCAACCTAAGGAAGTTAACTATGCTCACAAAGTTATAGGCAACAGATAATCCCACTTCATCAGAACTCAAGGGTATAGCAGGACAAATTGTATTCACAATACCACAGGCAACAACAGATCTGAAAAAACGAGCATTGACAATCATGGTTCTTACTCTCCCTCCACATTAATAGTCTTAACTCGCCTATAAAAAGACACAGGCTAACAGAATGGATACTAAGACAGAATCCATCTTTCTGCTGCATACAAAAAACACATCTAAGCTTCAAAGATAGGCATTACCTTAGGGTAAAGGGCTGGGAAAAGATCTTCCAATCAAATGGACCCAAGAAACAAACAGGTGAGGCTATCCTAATATCTAACAAGTTAGAAATTAAGTCAAAATTAATCAAAAGAGATGAAGGTGGTCATTTCATATTCATTGCAGGAGAAATCCATCAACACAAAGTCTCAATTGTGAACATCTGTGCCCCAAATACAAAAGCACCCACATTTGTAAAAGAAATGCTACTAAAACTGAAACCTCACATAAAACCTCACACAATTATAGTGGGAGACTTCAGCATGCCACTCTCACCACTAGAAAGGACCAGCAGACAGAAACTAAACAAGGGAAAAAAGAACTAACAGAAGTTATGTCTCAATTGGGATTAACAGACATCTATAGAATATTCCATCCAAACACAAAAGAATATATCTTCTTCTCTGTTCCACATGGAACCTTCTCTAAAATCGACCACATACTAGGTGGCATAACAAACCTCAACAGATATAAAAAAAAATTGGAATAGTCCCCTGTATCTTATTAGACCACCATGCTTTAAAATTGGAATTCAACAACACAAATCGCAGAAAACCTACAAACTAATGGAAACTGAACAAGGCACAATTGCACCATACCTGTGTCAAAGAAGAAATAAAGAAAGAAATTAAGGAGCTTAAGCACCTCTGCGGTCTGAGGAATGTCAACTATTCAACATGGAGGCGGAGGTCGATAAGCTGGAACTGATGTTCCAGAAAACTGATTCTGATTTGGATTACATTCAGTATAGGCTGGAATATGAAATCAAGACTAATCACCCAGATTCAGCAGGAGAGAAAAATGCAGTTACAATTTTAAAGGAATTTTCAGTAATAAAGTCTCAATATAAAGCTTTGTCTGCACGCTTTAAGCCAATTTCTATTGAGCAAAAAGAAAACAAGAGCCGCATTTGTGCTTCTCTGAGCAAGACAATGACCATGATCCAAGAACTAGAAAAGCAGACAGACCTGGAGCTAACTCTTCTGACTGAAGAAGAGAAAGCTGTTACAGAGCAGTTAAAATCTCACATGCCGTACTTAAAAAGACATGAGATTTTAAAAAGGAACTCTAATGGAGCAAAGAGCAATTCAAAAGACATTCAGCGTGATGCCCTATTGATGTCATTAATCTATCAAGGGATTGGAAGCTGCTAAGAAGATTAAGATTTTCCTTGATCATGATACTTTTAATATCAGGAAATTACAAGAAGGGTATATATCATATGACCAAAAGCCAAGAAGGATGACATGGGAATAAAGAAATTTAAATAAAAAAAAAAAAAAAAAAAAGAAAGAAAGAAAGAAAAGAAAGAAAGAAAGAAATTAAGGAATTCCTAAAATTCAATAAGCATGAAGACACACATACCCCAATTTATGGGACACATTGAAAGCAGTGCTACGAGGGAAGTTCATTGCACTAGGTGCCCATATGAAGAAAACAGAGGATAGTCACATTAGAGAATTAACAGCACAATAGGAAGCCGTAGAACAAGAAGAAGCAACTCACCCCAGAGGAGTAGATGCCAGGAAACAATCAATTTGAGGGCTGAAAAAATTAAAATAGAAACCAGGAAAACAATAAAAATAATAAATGCAACAAACAGTTGGTTTTTTCGAGAAAATCAACAAGATAGACAAACCTTTATCCAAACTAATGAAAAAGCAGAGAGAGAACATACAAAATAACAAAATCAGAAATGAACATAGCAACAGGGGGACATAGCAATGGACACAGAGGAAATCCAGGCAATTTTCAGGTCATACTTTGAAAACCTGTACTCCACAAAACTTGATAATTCAAAGGAAATGGACAAATTTCTCGATAACTTTCACTTACCAAAATTAAATCAAAAACAGACAAACAACTTAAATAGACCTATAACCCCCAACAAAATAGAAGCAGTCATCGAAAGCCTTCCAACCAAAAATCAAAGCCCAGGGCCAGATGGCTTCAGTGCAGAATTATTCCAGAAATTCAAGGAAGAGTTAACACCAATACTCCTCAAATTGTTCCACACAATAGAAACAGAAGGTTCATTACCAAGCTCTTTTTACAAGGCCATACTCTCCTGGGTAACTAAGCTACACAAAGACACAAATATGAAAGAAAACTACAGACCAATATCCCTGATGAACATCGATGTAAAAATACTCAATAAAATACTGGCAAAACGAATCAAAGAATACATCAGAGAAATCATTCACCATGACCAAGTAGGCTTTATCCCTGGGTTGCAGGGATGTTTTAACATATGGAAATATATCAATGTGATCTTCCATATAAAAAAACTGAAAAAGAAAAACCATATGATCATCTCCTTAGATGCCTTTGACAAAAATCAACACTCTTTCATGATAAAGTTCTTGGAGAGATCAGAGATAACAGGAACATACCTAAACATAATAAGAGCAATATACAACAAACCAACAGCCAATATCAACCTGAATGGAGAGAAGTTTAAGGTGATTCCTCTAAAATCAGGAATAAGACAAGACTGCCCTCTTTCTACATATCTCTTCTATAATGGACTTAAAGTTCTAGCTAAAGCTATAAGACAACAAAAGGAGATCAAGGGGATACAAATTAGAAAGGAAGAAGTTAAATTTTCACTATTTGCAGATGATATGATAGTGTACATAAGCGACCCAAAAAAACTCTACCAGGAAACTCCTACTGCTGATAAACACCTTCAGCAAACTAGCAGTATACAAGATAAACCCAAAAAAATTAGTAGCCCTACTTTATTCAGATGACAAAGAGGCTGCAGAAGAAATCAAAGAAACATCACCCTTTACAATAGCCACAAACAACATAAAGTAACTTGGGGTAATGATTACCAAACAAGTGAAAGACCTATATAATAAGAACATTGTGGCTTTAAAGAAAGAAATTAAAGACGATACCAGAAAATTGAAAGATCTCCCATGCTCTTGAATAGGTAGGATAAACATAGTAAAAATGGCAATCTTGCTAAATGCAATTTACAGATTCAATGCAATCCCCATTAAAATCCCACCACAATTGAGACATTGAGAGGATAATAATCAACTTTATATGGAAAAACAAAAGACCCAGGATAGCCAAAACAACCCTGTACAATAATAGAACTTCAGCAGGCATCACCATCCCTAACTTTAAGCTCTAAAACAGAGCTATAGTCCCCCAAACAGCCTGGTATTGGCACAAAAATAGACAGGTAGACCAATGGAATCGAATTGAAAATCCTGATATTAACCCACACACCGACCAACACCTGATTTTTGACAAAACAGCTAAAAGTATACAATGGGGGAGGAAATAATCTTCAACAACTGGTGCTGGCACAATTGGATGATGGTGTATAGAAGACTGCAGATAGACCCATGTCTATCAACACACACAAAACTCAAGTCGAAACGGACTTGAACATAAATCCAGCCACACTGAACCTCTTAGAAGAGAAGGTAGGAGGTACCCTTGAACAAATTGTTATAGGAGACTGCTTCCTGAACATAAGTCCAGTATCACAGACACTGAGATCAACAATCAATAAATGGGACCTCATCAAACTGAGAAGCTTGGACACAGTTGACAAGACCAAAGTTCAGCCCACAGACTGGGAAAAGATTTTTCACCAATCCTACATGTGACAGAGGGTTGATCTCCAACATATACAAAGAATTAAGAAACTAGTCAACAAAACACCAAACAACCCTATTAAAAAATGGGCTACAGAACTGAAGAGAGAATTCTCAACAGAGGAAATCAAAAAGGCTGAAAGACAAAGAAAGTGTTCAACATCCTTAGCTATCAGGGAAATGCAAATCAAAACAACTCTGACCAATTTACTCCTGCCAGAATGGCTAAAATTAAAAACACTAATGACAACTTATGCTGGAGAGGATATGGAGCAAGGGGAACACTCCTCCACTGCTGGTAGGAGTGCAAACTTGTACAGCCATTTTGGAGTTCAGTATGGCAGTTCCTCAGGAAAATGGAAATTAGTTTACCACAGGACCCAGCAAGCAATCCCCTCTTAGGCATATACCCAAATGATCCACATCCATGCAACAAAGACATGTGCTCAACTATGTTCATAGCAGCATTATTTGTAATAGCAAGAACCTGGAAAACCTAGAGGCCTCTCAACTGAAGAATGGATAAAGAAGATGTGGCATATTTACACAATGGAATACTACTGTGCAGGGGGAAAAATGAATCTTGAAATTCGCAGGCAAATGGATGGAACTTGATGATACCATCCTGAATGAAGTAACCCAGTCACAGAAAGGGGAACATAGTATGTACTCACTCATATATGGATTTTAGATCTAAATCAAAGGACACCAGCCTACATATAATTCACACTAGGAAATAAGGTGTATTCTGTGAGATTCATATAAGGTCCTTCACAGAAGGTGGAAGGGGCAAGGCCCCCAGAGCACATGGAAAGTATGGGGGGGCAGTGAGGGGAGAGGGAACTAGGAGAAAGAGAAGGGGAGGAGACAAAAGTAGGTAGGAAGATTGAGTCAGGGGTGGATTAGAAGACAGAAGAGAGACAGAGAGAGAGAGAGAGAGAGAGAGAGAGAGAGAGAGAGAGAGAGAGAGCATAAAAGAGGGAACCATTAATCCTGAACCAAAAAAATGTCTAGAGACCTATAAGACTGACTCCAACTAACAATGTGAGCAACAGTGGAAAGTCTACCATAAATGCACTTCCCTGATAATGAGATTAACAACCAACATATCCACCATCATGGAGCCCTCATCTAGTACATACTGGAAACAGAAGCAAACACCCACAACTAAACACTGAGTTGAATTAGAATGCAGGTGCAGAGAGGGAGGACAAGACTTAGTTGCAGAAAAACAGAGACAGCTGATCTGAACAAGGAGGAGGTAACAAGCCCCTTGGACTGATAGCTGGGATTCCAGCATGGGACTGACTCAGACTCTTTGAACATGGGTCTCATTAGCAGGCCTGAGCAGTCTATGGGACCTCAGACAGTGGAAGCAGGATATATCCCTGGTGCACAAAAGGACTTTGAGGGCACATCCCCCATGGAGGGATACCCCCTTAACCTAGAGACAGGAGAGAAGTCCTAGACCCTACTTCAAATGACCTGACAGATTTAGATGAGCCTGTCCTGGATGGCATCACCCTACATATGGAATGCAAGGGGGGGATAAGAGTGGAGGGTGGTCAGGTGCATGTGAGGGGAGAGAGAGGGAAAGAGGGAGGGAGGAAGGGAGGGAGGGAAGCAAAGATGGGGAACTGGGACTGATATGTAAAATAAAAAAAATAGATACTTGGTCTTTTGTTTTGAATTAAAACTTTGATTTTTTTTTATTTTAAACAAAGTACTTGGGTGACAAAAACATTTGTGGTCCAGGAATTCAGGGCTTGTGACCAGGCTGACTGTCACCCCTTCTCTTGTTGTGGTACTCCTGCCAAGAATGATCTTGGGGCACTTGACCAGCAAGGCCATCTATTTTTCAAAATTCCAGTGTACCTTCAATCATTATGATGAAAAATATGTTTTTCCTTAGTTAAAAAAATATGTTTATTTGTGGATTCCATTAAGTCAGTTTGTGTTATTAGTGTTAGATTTTGGACCTACTGCCAGTGGTCTCATATATTGTCCCAGGCACACTTTTGTCACCAGTGTTAAGGGAGTCTAGTTTGATCTTTTGCAAGTCCCCATTTGTCAGATCAGATTCAGTGATTTCTCTTTAGATTGGGTCAGGTGATTCTGTGAGTTTTCCTATCATTGTCTGGACTCTTTTGTTCATATTATCTCTTCAGTTGTATTTTGGGAACTTGGCCCAAGGGTTAGTTGTGTATTTCTGCATCTGCTTCCAACTGATTCTGGAAGAGAGTTCTAGCTTCTCTGGGGCTGTAGATCATAGACATGGTATCTTTTGCTTTATGTCTGGTATCCACTCTATATGGAAAGATACCTTGCTCAGCCTAGACACAGGGATGTGGGGGGTCAGAAAGATGCCTTTGTTCTGCCTCAAGGAGCTAATGGAAAAGACTTAGCAGACTTCCAAGGGGAGGCCTTACCCTCTAGGATTGGTAAGTGGGAAGAGAGGAGAGAAGGGGAACTGGGATTGGAATGTAAAGAATAAATCAATAAAAAAGGTGCCAAATGTTTATTTGTGTATGGGGGGG